TTCCATGATTCTATGGTGGCAGCTCATTCTGAATGGTCAGTATGGAAGACACAAGAAATGACCAGGAGCTTTCAGTGGGGTGTGTTACCCCAGAGGAGCTGTGGGACAGTGACTCACACCTACACGCGGTAGCTCTTTGCTCTGCCTGGCTTTGGGGCCAGCAGCACCTTGTGCAGGAAGGCAGGCAGCACCAGCACCATTGGCAAGGTCCCTGTGCTCTGGGCAGGATGACTGCGAGAGATGTGCAGAAACAATGGGGAGAAGGTAAACTGCAATAAAACGTTTGTGACAAAGGAATGGGGGAAAGGGAAAATTCAACTAATGCAGTTAGTGTCAGGATTTCTGAAGGGTTTTCATCAGAAAAAAAGGAAGCTTGTTAGGCACATGTTCCCATTTTGCTATCACATGGCAGGAAAGAATCTTAAAAGTGGTTTCTCTTTTAGGATGGATCTACACAAAAGTTTCCCAGCAAAAACAGCTCATCTATTGTAATTTCTTTCAGCATCTCCATATGTAGAACAAGATTATCAGTAAAACCTACCAGAAAATCTGGGGGACAGCAAGAGAACACAAAGTCTTCAAGAAGCTTATTAGGCACTTGCTACCTGGTATATTGAGGCTTTTCTTTAAGTAGGTCAAGGTGGTAGGTAAGAAATCACATCTTTTAGACTGAAACTTTGCTTCTGGTTTTGTACTTGTAGAGCACAGCAACAGAACCCCCATCTTACTCCATTGTAACAGATGGGCGCAGATGTTAAATGCAACCTAATATTTCACCATGGTGGTTACAGACCCTTTGTCCTGGGGCTATACAGAAGCTAGGGATCCTTATGACAACGAGCTGAAAAATGAAGTTTAGAATGCTAGAAGGCCTATTACAGAAGTTCTCTCCGTAGTCTTTGACCCAGGGGGGAACAGTCAAACTAGCCCTCCTGGCCATCACAGGGTTAATGAAATCTGCAACTCAAAAATGGCACATCTACCATGCTTTCCAGTCTTGTCTGTCTAATAAATCTGGTTTCATACTATGTCTTTTCCTTTTCCCACAAGCTTAATGAGTAACCAGCTCACCCCCGGTAAAACTGCAGTTTTCACTGCAGTTTCAGGACGAGTACCGAGCTCCTCCTGCTCCTGTCCTTTCTCTCCATAAGTACATTCAGTCCTTCAGATAATGAAGAGTGGATCTTATTAATCTGGTAAAGGATGCAATATTTTATTGTTATAAGGCTTCATGCAAAGACTAATCTACTCCTAAGTCTATAGGTTTTTGTTTTTTTTTTTTTAGAGCAGGTCCTTCATTACAATGTTAAATTTCATGGTCTCTTGCAAAATCTCTCATTATACTAGTGGGACAAGTTCTTGCTGCACACTCATGGCACTCATCTTTATAAGCTTACAGCACAGCCTAATTCTTCCTCTTTCAAATCTGTCACACTCCTAGGGTAAAGGTCTTTCCAGTGGCAATCACGGACTATCCTGCATGAGACACCTGTAACAAAGGACAAAGCTGAATTTACTTTTCCGATAAGCAAGTGGAAGAGCCAGTTACTTTCCAAGATTAAGATCCAGTTATTCTCTGATCCTGTTTCTCCCCTGCTCTCAATCATGCAGGAACCAAATAAAGATCTGTATCCCACTTTCTACTTGCCAATAATTAAAAATAGCTATACTGAGACATCATCCGTGCTACACAATTTAACTATCAGAAGTTCAAGTGCCTGAGAAATCTGAAAATGGACCTTTTCTGGGTGAAGAATTCGCTGGGAGGTTAAGCAGAGGACAGCAAGGGAAGGTTTCTAGCCCTACCTAGTACAAGGTTCAAACATTAAAGCTGTCCCGAGAGGATCTGGCCCCTTATCTCCCTCCACCAAAGGGGCAGAGAATCTTTCTTTTCAGTTTGCAGAAAAGAATAACCAACTTGTTTTAATGGATAAAAGATTTTCTACAGTAACTGTTTTGCCACAGGATTTTCACTTCATAGCAGACATTCACTTGTAATTGACCACTCCACGTTTTCCATGCAGTTCTGTCGGGCAACGACAACTGACAAGCCTGATATCTCCTCCACCAGCACGGCAAGCCTCACGTGCCTGAGAGGTAGAAACACATGACCACCAGCCCATGGCATTCAACTAATAGCTCTACCCTCTTCACACAGGAAGGCAGACACTTCCAGCTGCTGCACTGCCTCGAGGAATTAGGCTGAACTGTTTGTGATGTGGGTGGGGAGGAGCTTTTCAGGTCTCAATCAGGTCTGGAGCAACAGTCCCAGCAAGTTCAAATAGTCACTCACCTGCCTTATGGAAGAGACAGAGCTAACCTCCTGCTCTTCTATTTACAGCACAGTAACCCAAGTATCCAAGCCTAGCTCACAAGTTTGAACATTTGAAGCTAAAGCTAAGCTCACACACTTCACAGCTGAGCTATCGGGTGTATCAGCAATGGGAGTGCCTGATGGGAACTTCCCTGGTGAGCGTGGGCGGCTTTACCGGCAGCTCCGTGCTCCGCCAGGAACGGCCAGCTTCACCGGGACAGGCCTCCAGCAGAAAGGGAGGTGTGCCAGAACAGAACTGCGGGTTGCGCAGAGGCTCCCCAAGCTCTTCTACACCACAGAAAATCTCCTCTTGCTTTGAGTCTCTTCTCAGACAGTGTTTCTGTGAAGAATATTATCCCTTAAAGCCAGGTTTGCCTGGATATACCGTCGTAAGTGTCGTACGTGCTGTGCAGTAGTGGGGAGGTCGCAGCCACCTCAGCTCAACCTCCACCTCCTGAGGATGTTGCAGTAGTAGCCCCCACTTCGCATCAGAACAGAGGCGGAAGAGGTTTCCTTCCTACTAGGCCAGCAGACTCGTAGGTAGGGGTGATGCTTCCAAGTCACGTACCTCTAACGCTGGGAGCACCTGCTGAGGAACCCGCGTGCTAACACCCCAGAGCGCGGCTACATACCTGGAGGGAGATTGAAAACCATTCCTAGACACCTGGGCTTTGCAAATTTGATTCCCACAACTGATAAAATGTAAACAAAAAGGGGCTTGACTTTCAAAAGAGAAAAGCCACAGTACTTTCCCGATGACAGATCAGGAATCCTCCGTTTCCATGGGTGGGGCAGCAGAGCTAAAACAAATCATGTAGAGCAGGGGTTTATTTTCTAGTGCTATCTGTGTCAGGCTGGAACATGCCTTGGTAACTTATGTCATCTCAAAAATACAGACTTTTGTTTGATGTTAATCAAGCTATAGAATTAGCAGATTGATCATTAGACAAATTTCAAGTGGGAATTGCCTCCTGCCTCACTTTAGATGGGCCTTTAAAATTCCAAAGATGCAACCTGGTGACGGAGGGAAGGAAAATGGAGAGATTTAAACTATTGTTGGAGGATTTTATCATGCAAAAGTATTCTTCAGGCCCTCTGAGGCTGAGATGTTCTTGTTTCCACCAAATAAACTAAATATTACAGCAGTTTGCCAGCCATTTCTCTCAATCTCCTGCTTCAAATGAAAGAATTAGAAATAAAACTAAAAAAATCCTTCTTTTTTCCCATTTTCTTATTTTTTTTTTAATTTGATCCATTGCTATGATTTGGAGTGATTTCTTTGAGACAGTTCAGCAGCTTTTATAAAAATCCCATTCACTCCTACTCATGCCACACTTACCATTGGCAATCTGCATCCGGGAATACTGGGGAAGTCATGATGCTCCATGTGGTAGCCTACGTTAAAGGTGAGCCAGTTCAGAGGTCCGTAATAGGAGTATGTCTCATACCCTTTTAAGAACATGTAGTGTTCTGCTATGAAGTGCCCAGAAATGGGATGTAAACCCATGCAAAGTATTGTACCTGCTATTAAGTAAATAATAGGTTTGAGGCCCCAAAAGTAGTAAATTATAAGGTCTATAGAAAACTGGACAAGAGCGTTAAAAATTTCCATCCGTGTAATGGCCTTGGGGTTCACATACAGTGGTCTCAGACTGTAGAACATAGGTTGGAGAAAAAGCCAAAGCAGCTTCCGAAGTGGCGTACAAAAGAACCAGCCTTCAAAGTCTGTGGGAATGTCCACATCCAGGCTGTCCCCACCAAGGTACCGATGATGGTCAATGTGGTATTTCTTGAAGGAGGCCGAATAAGGGATGCCTATCGGCAAGTTGGCAAAGACTGCGAACCAGCGGTTCCACTTAGCTTGCTTGTTCCCAAAGGCGACGTTGTGTGAAATATCATGGATGGCTAGGGTCAACGAATGGTTGATGCAACCCCCAAAAGCATAAGCCCAGAAGAAAATCCATTTCCAGGGTAAGTCTTTCACCAAGTAGCACGCTAGAAACTGCATGAAAACCATTCCAGATACAATCCACTTTAAATGTGGATCCGGTCCCATCAGAGCCTTGATCTCTGGATACTTTGCTAAAGGGAAAAAATGGAGAGGAAACTTCATTAGATCACAGTTAGGTAAACAAAATCTCCACTGGCACTCAACTTTTATCACCATATTATTATCAAATTGATAATAATATCAAGGGTTTGATGCCCTCGTTTTATAAAGTGAAAATTCCAGAGCAGGGTTGCTACTACAGTGAAAGTTTTGCTAACTCACGGGCTCTGTTCCACCGACAGCGTCATGTCCAGTTGTGATTGATACTCACATACATGCACGCACACATATAACAAAATACATTCTACCTTGAAAGTCAATATGTGGCATCATGTGCCTTCACAAGGACGAGTATTAGTAGGCCAAAACCTACCAGATTTAAGCTCTAAGAAGCACCTTCTGTCAAGTTTTTCATTCCTCCTTATTTTGCCCAATCCATTTGCTGTTTTCCACAAAAGGGACACAACTGCCTTCTTTGTAGGCCCTTCCATATGGTTTCTTCAGACATACTAGCAGGGGAAGAAGGCTGAGCAACAGGCCCGCCAGGTTTTGCTCTGTGGTTAGATGACAAATCCAGCCCTAATTATTTTGGGTGTTCACCCATGCTTACAACACGCACAACTCTTTGCACCTGGTAACATCACAAGAAAGCCAGTAATATTATCAAGAATTTATGACAGACTTTTTTTTCTCTGTTCCCATTCATTAGCCTGTTCCCAAGCGCCATCCTAGAACCATGCATGAGAGTCACGTAAATAATCACCCTGCCGCTCCGCGCGGCCTCGCAAATGCTGCAGTACAGCATTAGGGAGACATGGGCCAGGCTTGCCAGGTCTGAGCCCTGTCAGGACAGGACCAGGCTTACTGATCTGTAGTTCTACCAGCTGTTCATTTGTCCCTTTAAGATAAAACACACAGAAGTACAGTTTATCTTCTAGAGGCTGTTCATTGCTCCAGGTCTCTTCTTTACAGACCCACACTTCTCACTCCCAGCATTAACTTCCACAGTAATTTTTCCACCCTTTTATGGCTTTTACCCATCTGCTTTCCTCGCTCCTTTTACTCATACTCAGTGTTTCTCAATAATTACAGCTCGCACAGATAAGACTGTAGGACAAGTCACTCATTCTGAACCCTGAGGTCACATACAGTGTCCCTGTAATTTTGATAGGCCCATTTTATGAATAGAAAGGTAAATATCATCTGACTGTCACAGTATGATACCAATGCCATAAAAGCAGATTACAACAATCGGCATCTATGCAGCTGTATATACTACAAACAAAGCGGGAGATGATAGACGTAACTTCATGTGACCTTGCAAGCAGTGGCAAGGACTGAGTGCAGGATGCAGAGGGTTTTTTTATTTTTACAGAAGCGAGCCCCGAGAAGTCTGTAGCAGTTCAGAGAGATGAAGCATTAAGGAAGCGGGTTGATGTGGTCATGCGCTACAACCATCCAAACAACTTTTGAGCCCGTTGGCCAGCTTCAGCCCAGCTTAACAGAGGTTAGAGACCATAGGGATTAGACAGGTTTTGTGGTAGATGATGAGGATTAGACAGGTTTTGTGGTAGATGATGAGGAAAAGGACAGTCCTAACTTTTCCCCCAGTGAGAGCAAGGGAGCAAAATCACCATGTGGGGTATTCAGACAGGGGAGAAATTTTCTAAGGGGTGGAAAAGCTCTAGTAAAAGTTCACATTTTTCTGAAGTTAGCCAAGCTTTTTGATAAAAATCTCTGGAAAGCCCAGGGGGTTTAGTTTTGCTATTTTGTTTTTGTGTACTTTTTTGCAGGTTTTTTTTTATTTGTTTACATGTTAGAAATGTTAACATGTTAAAAATAGTTCTCTGGTACCTAGACAGGTACCAAAATTTTTTACACAAAGGACTGGAATGTCCACTCTAAGGAGTAACTTGACATAATGACTTGATCAGAATATCTGTTACAGACATATAATTTTACATAGCTTAATGACCTGACTAGGAGCATCTGTCCAAAACCCAGAAAACCCTTCAATAAATCAAGCCACCTCAAATTTTCAGTCATGCAGTTGGTAGGGATAATTTACTGCAGTCATCAGAACAGACAAAAGAGATGTAAAACAACCAAACCTGTTCCTCAGCCTGGTCAAATTCAGGCCACTCTGACCAAACAAAAAGTTTTAATGGGATGGGAAAATGACTAAGTAATGCTTTATACTGTACTTTGAGAACATACTTAGAACGTCGCCTTGGCCCTATTTCTTTTGGTTGCAGCTAACAAGGGTTGCAGATTACTTGTAAGAGATTTCAGAGTGGTAACTGCCAGCCATCAGCAAGTGTCTGCAAGCAGCAGCGCAGGTAGGTTGCTTTTATCGCAGGTGACAGCTATTAAGTAACTTGCTAGGGTTTAATATTAAATTCAACATATGATTAACTCCTCTCCAACAGGAAGTTTTTGCATACTAGTTAAACCACAATACCCTATCTGTTTATCATTAATACTGATAAACCCTTCCCATTTCCACAGCACAGAGGAACCCCAGGGAGGCTGGCAGGTGGGGCTGCGAGGCTCACCGCAGGCTGAACGTCCTGCTGCTGGCGTAGCCTGCCAGAGACCCTCTGCTTCAGGAGCAGTGCACATGCAAAACGTTGAATGCTGCCCCTTTCAAAACTTGAGGCCAAGCACTCTTCAGTGAGACACGTTTAACTGCAGATTAAGTGATCCCAATGGCCGCGGTTTATATGTAACATGCTGACACAAAGATGTATCCCATTCTTCCCTTATATTCACGCATTGCCATTAGCTGAAGGAATCCTAGGAAGGCAAGACAGAGCACTTACAGTTAAAAAAACTGGACAACCCTGTAAGGCTGTTGGGACAAGTGTCTGTAGGTGATGAGCTGGGCTGTGCAAACCAGCTGCCAGCCACCTGCACGTCCCAATGGCACAGAGAATCAGAGACAGGGCTAGTGTGCAGCGCTGAGCCAGGAGCCATAAAGGACTACGAGACTGACAGCAGCCAGGCAGTAAAGACCACCTTCATTTCCTACACACTGCACTTTGAGAAGCAAGCAGGCACCTGCTCTCCAGTCTTGACACTGCTAGAACTTCACACTACAGGACATCTGAGCAGAGATTTTCATCATGCTGCTCCTTCCTGAATCACTTCCATTTTAGTCTTCCTGAGCACTATACCATTATAAAAATGACCAGCTCCTCTAAAGCCAGAGCCCACTGCTTCCCAAGAAGCACTAGGTCAGGGCTAATACATGACGATGGTCAAAAAATGTAATCTGTAGTGAGCTCTTCATTATCCACAGTTACGGCATGGAAAGGAAACAGGAGGAAGAAAACCTCAGCATTCAGCCATTCGAGATAAAGCAGGGGGAAAAGACCAAAAAACCCACGGTACTGCCATTTTGAGGGTGGGAATACTGGTATAGATGTACGGCAGTGCAGAAGGATGATGTTCTTGTCTCAGCACGCCACAAAAGCAGTTCAGGCACTGTAATACTAGTAGTGCCTCCTTTAGTGGGCTAGTAGTTCTGCCGAGCCAGCTCCACAGCCTCTACACCGTAACCTCAGAGCAGTCGAAATCCGTGCCAACAATGAAAGACAGCATTTCCCACTTGTAAAAGGGTTGATGAAAGAACCGCAGCCAAGAGAGGACAAATGCTGCAAGTATATTCTCTGAAGCGTTCACAATTCTGCAGCAACTCGTTTACTGAATTAACATTTCAGAGATCACTCCACTGTTGTGTTGAAGCATTAGCCACCTTTCTAGAGGCATGCCTCTCTCTAAAACACTACTGAGAAATTACTCTGCCTACACTTCTTTTCCCCTTGATGCTCCTCTCTGGAGATCCAGAAATACTCACCATAGCTCTCCAATAGCTCTCAGTTAGGGCTGGAGCAATTGTTCCCGGAGAAGCCATCAGCCACTAAGTCCTAGTGTTGTTCCTCCTCAGGAGACAGCAAATGTCTTGTTACAAACCCTCACTCATCCTCTATTCCTACTGACAACATCCCCGAGATGACTCAGGAGAGACCCTGTTAGACCTCAGTTCTGGCACCGGACACAATTTCTCATTGACATGACACCACATACTTAGCACTTGCCCACATCCAAATCCTGTGTATGCCAAACGTGCAAGAGCAGGAGCTGTCCATACACAGAAAGAGGTGGTGGAGGTTTAACGGAGCAGCAGCCCTACCCACATCCATGAGAAGCTGGTAGGAACAAGAGAATATGTTTAAATTTCTTCATCTTCCTTTATTTTGACCACGAGTGCAGCATACAAGTATAGTCAAAGTGAAGATACTATTCAGTAGAAGACTTTTAGAAGGCCTGTTAAAGAGAAGAAGTCAAAAAAAAAAAAAACTCATCCATCTCTCTGATGCTGCTGTCCTGGACTATGTTCTATCAACTGTGAGTCCCTGCCAGAACAAATAAGGGACACCAGGCACAGGATGTTAGCTTTACTACCCTGTGCCCTATGCTGGAACTGGTATCTCTACCAAAAAATAAACAAAACAAAGTAAGTCAGTTTGCTGACATGACAGTGGTTTTCCTTTTAGCGGCTAAGCTCATGCTCAAAGAGCACAGCACACTTGAACCGTACTTAACTCAAACCATACGCGAGCCAGGACACAGGTAGGACACATACAGAGGACAACATGCATGACAAAAGCCTCTGGCTTTGCACAGTCTCCTGCCCCCTCCAGTACACAAAGTAATAAAGCCTTTTTAGCCCAACTAACTACGCTGAAGTTTTATATATCCACTCTGCAAGGGAAAATGGTCTTAATCATCTATTTGCCACCCATAAGCTCCTGAAGTGCTTTGTGCTGGCAGGTCCCAGGGAGCTGGGTCACCCAGAAGTGCCCATCACAGTGGTACCACACTGCTGCTGTCGACAGAGACGGATGGTGTCAGCACAGCACTAGGACAGCAGCTGTGACCTGTTTGTTTACACTTGTTTATTAGCAGGTTCAGAGTAAAGGGGTGTAGGGATGCTAGAAAGAGGACTTCCAACTCCCTCTGAAACA